GTTTTGAGGGCGGGCCAATCTCCACTGACTTCGTCATCTTCACACTGACAACATACAAGTGAGACACAATGGGGTGGTGTAGGGGCTCACCTTGCCGGCTACCAAGTGGCGTCAGGGATGGACATCAGTTTACCCACCAAGAAGACGTGTGCACCGTGTGTATTCCAGTACCATCAGGAAAATGTCTCCTCCAGTAATAATTCAGTGATAATAATTCTAATCACCATCTAATGCCTCATGATTTCAAGTGTGGTCCATGGTCCAGCAGAATCAGCGCCAGTTAGAAGCTTATCAGAAATGCAGGTTTGGGGACCATAATCCAGACCTACAGAATCAGAATCTGCAGTTTAGCAAGATCCACATGTGAGTTGTTTGTGCAATAAAGTTTGGGAACCACTGGTCTAACTTCAGAGTAAATAAGGCCACAATTATTCTGAAGCAATGGAAGGTGGAAGCAAAAATAGGGTTTGGGGGCCTTAAATTTCCTGGATATTACAACGAATTGTGGTCTTCTAAAGACGATTACATAAACCGATACACACGGTATGTTTGGGGTATTAATTTTGACGGGTAATTTGGAAAAAAAAAAAAAAAGGTCTAAAACAGCTCCTTTGGGGCAATAAATAGGAAATAAGGACAATCAGGGCTCCTTTCGGGCAATAAACAGGAAATAAGAACAACCAGGGACAGATCCCAAACACGAGGGGGAACCACTGAACCCCACGGTCCCGAATTAGAGAGCTTTGGGTTACCGCACGGAACCCTCCCTGCTCCCCGAGCGTCTTCTAAATCGGAAGCGGAAGTGATATTCCTGGGTCGGCAGCCGCTGTCGTGGCTCTGGTGCTGCGGTGTGAGCGCCGTGTGGCCCTGTCGCCGGTCGGCCCGCTCCGCTAGCGGGTGACGCGCAGCTCCTGTCTCGGGTCTGAGGGCGCTGCGCCCGCTCCGCGCGCACTCCTGGTCTCTCAGAGCCTCGGGACTCCCTGCAGCCGGGGAGCCGCCGCCGCTTGGCCGCTTCCTGCATCCCCGGCCCCGCGGCCGCAGCTGCTTCCTGGAGGCCGCGGAGGTGGGACCTGTGTCTCTCGGTGCGTTCACAGGTGAGGTCGTGGGAACCCTCGCCGCGCACACGCGTGCTTCTCGGGGCAGCGGCGTCAGCGGCACAGGGAACGAGTGAGAAATGCAGGGTCCCGGGCCTTACGGGCGCCGGGGTCGCTCGCCTGCGTCTCAGTGCCCTGCCCCCACCTCCCGCCCGCCGCCCCCGCGCCCCTTTGTTCTCATCTTCCACCGCGCCTTAATACACACACACACACACACACACACACTGCAGTCGCGTTTAGCTCCTCATCAGGCTTCCGTCACTCCCGGTCTTTGTGTGTATTTATCATTTATTGAACTATTTCAGAAGGGCTGGGCACTGTCCCAAGTACTTTATATACTGCATCTCTTTTACTCACAAAACAACACAGTGAGGAGGGAGTATCTGCGGCATTTTACAGAAGTAATAGTGTTGGAGAAATTGAATAGCTTGCAGGTGATTTAGGAAATAATATTGGAGTTATTATTCCCTCGCCTTGAGCATAGAGAATGTGACCCAGCTGGAGCTGGGCTCACAAGGACTCATAAGGACACATCAAGTGGGCCCTGAGGTATAAAGACAATAGCTAAGATAATCTTGGAAAATATATTTTAGGGAAACTTTCACATAAAGCCAATCAAACAGAACACAAAAGATTTTCTGTTGTTACCTTTTTCTGTTACCATTTAGTGAATGGAAATTTGTTGGACCAACAAAGACCCCCGACTGTTGTTACTGAAACCTGTACCAATGATTGTTAAGAAAGACAATACAAAATGTAGGATCACAGTTTCTAGCCAATCTGAAAAGGCTAAGGATTCAATGGTTTTGCCCATTTGTAATGTTAATATATACTGAGGGCTCTCTAACTGGTCTTTGAACTCTGGCAGCCTTGGCTGTGGCAGAACGCTTGTCTGTTTTCCCATGCTTACCTATTGTATAATATTCTTTGGACGCGGGCAGACATGGCTCTAGCAGCATGCTTGTCCGTTTTCCCACTTTTATCTGTTCTGTGATATTTCCTTGGACTTGGACAGACATGGCTCTAGCAGCATGGTTGTTCTTTTCCCACTTTTGTCCTTTTGAATATATGCTGAGTAAAACTTTCTTTTTGTTTTACTAAACTTTGTTTTTCCCCTGCAAAACAGGTGGACAAATATCTAGTAAGTGGCAGTGTCTGAACTCAGATTCACGTCTGATCTTACTTCCAGGGGCATAATCTTGATCTGTCTCCCTGCCTAAAATGGCTCCTCTTTGTTTTCTGTGCTTCATCAGGCAGGACTTTTGTTGAGTGTTGCTGGTCATGCAGAAATGAAGCTTGTGGTGAGGAGTATATCGCCCTCTTTTAATGGTTATATGTATTTAACACCAATGAAAAAACAAGAAATATGAGTTGGAACTAGTATGTACATTTAGGACCATGTTTATCCCAATTTCTGGAGGAAAACATTTAATAAGAGGCACATTTTGAGGAATTTCTTTGGCTTAAGGCAAACAATACAGCCAGTCCTGATTGGTCTGATATAAAATGTGATGCCGCTGACCCAGCTGAATGCAGGCGTTGAAGGATTTATAGAGGTCACACACCCAGTGTGTGTGATCTGTGCTGGATTGAATGCTGGGGATTGAACAATTTTTACTACCAAAGAACCACACTTCTTAAAATGCTGAAGGCTTCTTGGAGCAGAAACCATGCATGTTCCCAGTGTCAGAACAGAGAATATTAGAAATGAAGGGAAGATGGGAGGCATGTGTAATGAAAGTATTCAGAATACTTCAGCAGATCTTAGAGGGTCAGCAACAGTACAGTGTTGCATAAAGTACCTCATCTTTTGTAATAATTATTTTACAAAGTGAAAAAGTCAAGTAGGGAGTCCCTGGTTTGTGGAAAACTTTCAGATTATTAGCTGAAAGTTTGGTGGTTTGAACTGACCCGGATGGGCCTCGGAAGACAGGCCTAACGGTCTGCTTCTGAAAGGTCACAGCACTGAAAACCCTATGAAGCAAATTTAAACTGTCTACATTTAAGTGTCCTGTTGGAGAAATCTTTGGGAACGCCAATGCTTAATCTCTTTTTTTTTAAAATTGCTACTAATTACACTTCTTGTTATGTCTATATGTATATAGGTTATGGAAGCAGTCTTGTATTTTTTGGTTGTTTTTTTCATATGAATAACAAGGTGATCCAGATCTAATTACCTTAAAAAACCAATTCCTTACACAGTGCAGTTCCTCAAATGTGATTTTCTTTAGGTTACTACAGCCTAAGTTTGCCGTTAAATCTGAGAAATACCCGCTTCCTCTCTGTATCCCCATAATATCTAAATTTCCCTCCTTTCACTTACACACTTAGACTAAGAAACTAAGTTTTTTTAATACTGTCATTTCATGCCATCTTTGTGTGTGTGTGTTAAAATATATAACAAAACGTTTTCCTATTTCAACCATTTTTACATACACAATTCGGCAACACTAATTACTTTCACCGTGTTGTGCAACCATCACCACTGTCAGTTTCCAAGATTTCCATCACCCTTAGCAGAAACTTGTCTCTTAAGCATTAACTCCCCTCCTCCCTCCCATCTTCCTTTAGTAACAATTCAGTATCTATATATTTGTCTATTCAAGGTATTTAAGTAGGATTGTATAATATTTGTATTTTTATGTTTTACTTATTTAACTTAGCATAATGTTTTCAAGGTTCATCCATGTAGCATTTATGAGAATTCAAATCCTTTTTTTGACTGAATGATATTCTATTTTCTTTATCCATGCATCTGTTGATGGACTTCGGTTTTTCTACACTTTTTTGCTATTATGAATAGTGCTGCTTGAACATTACTGTAAAAATACCTGTTTGCATCCTTGCTTTAAAGCCTTTTGGATATATACCTGTTGTTGTTAGGTATTGTTGAGGCGATTTTAGACTCGTAGTGACCCCATGTGACAGAGTAGAACTGTGCCATAGGGTTTTCTTAGCTGTAATTTTAACAGAAGTAGATCACAGGGTCTTCCCTGCAGAAGCACCAGGTGGGTTTAAACTACCAATTTTTTTTTTTAATTACATAATTTTATTTTTTTGTTGTTGAGAATATACACAGCAAAACATACACCAATTCAACAGTTTCTATATGTACTGTTTAGCGACATTGATTACATTCTTCGAATTGTGCAACCATTCTCACTGAAATTTTCTGAGTTGTTCCTCCTCCATTAACATACATTTGCTGCTCCATAACGTTCCTATCAAATCTTTTGAGTTGCTGTTTTCAATATGATCCCACATAGTTCTTAAAAGAGCAAAATGCTCAAGGCAGACATTTTTTGCTAGTTAAGCTAAACTGTTGTTTGGTGTTAAGAAGACTTTAGGGATACTTCTGGTTTAAGGTTTAAAGATTATCTCATGGCAGTAGCTTCATGGGTTCATCCAACCTTTGTGGCTCCAGGAAGCCTGGAGTCCATGATAATTGAAATTGTGTTCTGCATTTTCCCCCTTTGGATCAGGATACTTCTATGGAATTTTTGATGTAAATATTCATTAATGGTAGCCAGGTACTATCCAGTTCTTCTGTTCTCATCGCAAATGAGGCAGTTGTTCATGGAGGCAATTATCCACACATTCCATATCCTCCTGCTATTCCTGACTGGATTTCTTCCTCTGTTCCTCCAGGTGAATAGAGACCAGTTGTGCCTTGGATGACACCTTGCAAGCTTTTAAGACCCCAGGCACTACTCAGTTAGCTAGAAAGTAGAAGAACAGCAGTAAACACGTTATTAGGCCACTTAACTGGGATGTCCCATGAAAGCATAACCCTGAACCTCCAAACCAAGGACTCAAGTCCCATGAGGTGTTTGGTTGTACATAAGCAATCTCAGCATCTACTGTTTTTGCTGTTGTTAATCGAACCACCAGTCTTTTGGTTAGCAACAGAGCACTTAACCATTTACACAACTAGCACCCCTATAAATGGAAATTTCTGGGTCATAGGGTTTTCGTATGTTTAACATTTTCAAGAACAGCCATACTTTTCCACAGAGGCTGAACCATTTTACAACCTACCAGCAATTTCCTCACATTCTCCCCAACTCTTCTTGTTTTCTTATGGTAGTCATTCTAGTAGGGATGAGGTGGTATGTCATGTGGTTTTGATTTGCATTTCCCTAACAACAAGGGCATGGAGCATCTTTTCATGTGTTTATTGACCATTTTCTTATCTTTCGTGAAATGTCTGTTTAAGTTTTTTGCCCATTTTTAAAATGGTTTGTCTATATGTTGCTGAGAGATAGAAGTTCTTTTTATATCTTGGATACTAAAATTTTATGACACATATGATTCCTAAATGCAGTGAAACCTGCGAAAGTTGGCACTTAAGGCAGAAAACTATCAGGGTAGGAGAACTCAAATATTTTCCAGTAAACAAGTGACCAAAAAGTGGTAAGGCTGCACTGCGCCAAAGGCAGAAAAATTGCAAGACCCAGAAAAACAAGGCAGTTCCGTTGAATTCCAGCTGTTACAAGTTTCATTGTATTTTCTCCCATTTTGTATGTTGTCTCTTCCCTTTGTTGACAGAGTCCTTTGATGCAGAAGACTTTTAATTTATCTGTTTTGTCTTTTATTGCTTGAGCTTTTTGATATCATAGCTAAGAATCCATTGTTGAAAACTAGTGTGTACAGAAAATAAATGTGATGCTTTTTTAAAATAGTAAAAATATTGCATGAGTCAAAACTTTCAGAAATACAAACAGTAGAACTGGTCATTGAACACCATTTGTAATCTCAGCGTAGGTAGAAAAATGTCGTGCCTTGTATTTTTTCTTTTCCTTCTCTAGAGGTAGATGTTCTAGAAGTACTCCCATTTTGGGCAGGAGTTTTACTTAGAGACATGACTGTTGGTGTAGTCACTTCATGTCAAATTCAAGCCTTCATTCAAAGCTACTGAATTTTCCTAGTTCAGAATCTCAGACTTGCTCTTCAGATGCGACCACAATGTCAACTTTTTTTGTGAAGAAAGCTTTCCAAAGTTTTATTTTGATTCTGTTTCTCACAGACACACACTCGATAGTCATTTAGTTTCTTATTCAACAAAACAGGCTTAGCAACATGAAATTCCGTATTGGACTTATTCTGAACTACCAAAAATGCAATTTCAGATGCTTCAACCAAATAACACCTGTGCGGTTACAAAGTTGTAAGCAAATAATGTGTGCAAGTGTATAAACAGCAGTGGCACAGTTAAAATAAGGGACACCTCCACACAGAAGAGTCTTAACAGAGTCTTGAAAGTCAAACAGAAAAAAACCTTTCATCCAGAATTTCACTGTAATTATCAGCATCTGGTCTACATCAAGATCGCCCAATCCATTAGTAGAGTAACCAGATATCTACTATCAGATGTTAGAGCCTATGCTATGAACTGTTAATTATTTCCTAAAAGTTTAGTCCATGCCAGCACTGTGCTCTTCTTTTCCTTTAGCCTGAAGCTTCAGAAGTGGGAATGCAGCCTGTTTCAGAGGTCACAGTTTGAGTCTTCATGGCCAGCAGGAGAGAGCCTACAGGTTGAGATATGGGCTCTTGGGTAACAATGGACTCAAGACACCAAGCTCTTCCCATAGGCCACCTGGGACACTAAGGACTGTGACGCTCTGAAACCTAACATGTCCAAGACAAAACTTTTAAAATTTCACCTGAACAAATCTGCTTCTCACCTGGCTTTCCCAACCAGTGAGCGGCATCAGCCTCCATTCACTAGATTTAGGGGAAATAGTCCAAGCTACCCTGAGAGGAGAGCTCCCTTGAGAAAGCAACCTCTGAACTTTCGTCTGCTTTTCTCTTGTCACAAGAAGGTACACTCTCCTCCCAGCAGCAAGAGGCATATTTCAACAGTGTAAACCAAGCAAGCTGTCAGTCACATATAGAATAAAATCCACGTATTTTATGTTGGCCAACAAGATCCTACACATTAAGGCTTACATATAGCTCTCTGACTAAAGTTTATATCACCCTCATGTTTGATAGGCTCTTGACATATTTTTAGAAAAATTTTTTTCAGTGATGTCAAGATTTTCCCCGCCTTTCAGCCTTTGCACCAGGTATTTTTTCTGATTAGAGGAAAACTTTTAAACCATAGGAATTCAATAATTCTTACAATGTGGGTCTCACTTCAAATGTTACCTCCTCAGTGCCCTTCCTGTCCCCTCAGTTACTCCCACTCATTTCTGTCTTTAAATATTGCAGTTTTCGGAATGTGGTAAATCCAATTTAGGGTGACAGTAACCTTCAGCATGTAAATACAAGCATTTTTAATTAAATTTTACGTTTGCTTTTAGCAGTTGTTTCCCTGTGTGACAGAGTTTTAGAAAACAAAAAACTGTGAAGCCCTGTGTTGTGCTGATGGCAGCTTTCAGACCCTCTCTGCTGTGTTGATTACTTAACCTTGTGGTGAGTCCCCTAGAGCTGTGATGTCCCCTAGCCAGATGTTGCTAAATCAGTTAAAGTTTGTTGAAACTAAAAGAAAAAATACAGTTACTTGTACTAGCCGTATATTCTGTGGTAAATAGTCACATGGAGATAGAGGCTACCATATTGGACTGTACAGAAACAGAACAGGGCTATTGTCACAGAAAGTTCTTTTGGATGGTGCTGCTGAAGAGTGTATACAATAGGTGATAATCTGGGTGTGTCCTTAATGATCAGTGTCACAGGCCAGAAGAAACAAGAAAACAAGATATAGGTTTTATAGTCTGCCCATAGATTTATTGTCTAGCATGGGAGAGAGTTTTAAATAAATAATGAAAAACTAAGGATATGTGATGCCTATATTAAAAAGACCTAACCCGAGAGTGAGGTTAGATTGCTTGACAAGTAAAATTACTTAAGTGAAGATTTACAAAATTGGGTTATTTTTAGCAACATACATGGTAGTGTAGGGCTGATACTATGTTGTATGAGTAGATATGGAAAGAGTATTTCATTTGGGAAAAATAAATGTGTAAATCTCTGAGGCAGCAGAGAACCCAGTATTGTCCATTCATTGATGGAAGTCAGAGATGATTGAAGCGTAGAAAACAACATGTGGGTGGTAGGGTTTGTGTGAGCCAGATTCGAGCAGGTCATTTAGAACCATGCTGACTACTCGGGGCTTTTGGAAGGCCACTGGACAGCCATAGACGGGCATTAAGCATTTCCTGTGCTGGAGATAGATTTTGGAAGTGACAACCATGTTTGAATGACGTCAGGTAGGAGCTTGTTATAAACAAGATAGAGAAGACTGTGAGGAGACCAGGACATGGACATTGTGGATCATGAAGATAGCATAGTGATATAATGTAGATGTGGATGTACGAAAGGGTATCCCTTGATAGAATTCTTATTCCTTGGGTTACAGGCTATAGATCAGTGGATGCTTCTCCCAGTTGAATGTCAATGTGAATGTCAACCTTGGGATCTTGTTGAAATGCGGATTTTGATTCAGCAGTTCTGGGGTGGGACTTGAGATTCTGTATACTAATCAAGCTCCTAGTTTATGCTAGAAGTAATAGTCTAGAAATAATGATGTGAATTAAAATTAGTTCTATTAGAAGAAATAATAAGAAGAATAATGCTTAGCGGGGAGACACTGGTGTAAACATCATGTGAGAGAGAGAACATTGACGCTGAGACCAAGAAATGAAAGAGTAGGAGTCAACTTGGAGGGGGAGCAGGGTGAAAAGAAATAGGAAGAGAGGCAGGAGATGGCTCCTTAGCGATACTGTAAAGATTTTCTGATTTATTGATCAATTTAATATAAGGTTGAAAAACAAAGTGTTCAGGGATCCTCCCAGATTTCTCAAAAGCTTAGTGAGTGGTGTTCTCATGGTTTTTAAAATGAAGAGGAAAAAAACCCCAGAAAACTCAAGAGGCAGAGAGAAATGTTAATTAATTGCAAAAAGAAAAGAAAAAAAATACCGATCAAATATCGCAGTGCTATAAGTGAAATGAAAATGTTTTTAAAAGGACAATAGAAGTTTTTTCTACAGCACATAGTTAAAAAATAAATCAATCCTGATGAGTTCATTGTAAATACTTGAAAAATATGTTCTTTCTTAAAAATTCATCTATGTTAATGTCAGAGAACAGTGATATTTGATATCATGGACAAAGTTACATAGGTGAACCCACAACTTCAACATTGGACCCCTGACTTCCTGGAGGAAATCAGATTTAAATTCTGTGGCCTGGCCAGACCTGTTTGCCTCAATGCTCTGGAACAAGTAAATTCCTCCATCTGTGATCTTGTGGCGGAAAAAAGAGCCCCATGGAGATGCATGAATAATGCTGGTGTATGCTCTGGAGACTGAAGCCTGTTCTGCCTTCAGTGCAAATGCCCTCAGGGTGGAGCATTGCCCTGAGCCTGCAAGGAAGCTAAAGAACTGTCATTCCCTGCTTCCTCAACACTGTTTTCTCCCCATCCTTCTTCTATTTCAGGTCTGGAGTGTGGCGCAGAGAGAACTAGGCCAGTCCAGGCAGCTGGGGGCCTAGAACGACCATCTTGCACATCTATATATCATAAGGAAGAATTTCAGCTGCTCAGACTGGTGTGTGGACCAGACATTATCCATCTGCTTCCAAACTTCCCACTGCTCTGCTTTTGCTCCCGTCCTTGTTCCAGAAGTGGCTCTTTGGGCTCAGAGGCAACATTCCCTTAGACTTTCAGAAGCTGGAGAAGCAAATGGTGAGTTGTACGGAGAACTGGGTTATCCTTACCGTAAGTGGGTGAGGCTGGATATGAATTGTTGGGGGTGCAGCTGTGTGCTGCGGGACTGGGGTTCCAGTGAAGAAAAAGGTGGCAGAGGAGGCCATGGGGCTGAGCCCTAGGTGGCACCCTAAGGTCTTGCTCCACTGTCTCTGGGCCCTTCCTCTGTACATACATGGCTTTTCAAGATTTGGATACCTGGTGTCACCCTCATGTGACTCTCAGTGGTAGCATCATGAGGTGTTAACATCCCCACTCTTTGCCTTGGTGCTCTCTGTTGAATGGCAAAGTCTCCTGACCAGAATCTGAACACGGAGCAGCTCTGGCTGTGGAGGCTGAGCCCTGGCCCTTCAGAGCCTTCCTTGTCCTGTGTCTCTGAACAATGTTCTTGACTCACCCCAGGCACTGGAGCATTTTGGGTCTTAAAAAGATTAAGAGGTATCATATCAGTTTCATCATTGTTCTGAAGTGTAAAATATCTCAGCATTTCACTGAGATTAATAGCCAGATTCTTTTCAGTTGCCAACAAATTCCCTAGAAAATGACATGGCCATTGTCCCCAGTCGCCTCTCCAGATTCCTACAGTATGTCTCATCTGTATCGCATTCTGTTCTGCTGGCATTTGGCTCTTCCTAAAACCTACAAGGTACCTTCCCACCTTCTGACCTGTGCTCTGGCTGTTTCCTCCTAGAACAGATTTAGTCAGAGACATGAATTTTTTTATATAACATCACCAAGTGATAGTTTATATATATATGTTTATTTAAATTTTCTGCCCTCACTCAACGAATGTACAATCCATGTTCATCTGGATATTTGTTTTGTACACTGCTGTGTCTGCTTTGCCAACACGCAGTAGGCTCTGTGTCAGTATGGCCTGAATCAATTTTGATAAATGAAGGTAGCCAGAATTATGTATCTGAGGTGAAGAAGTCTTGTCTGAGACACAGGGCTTTGCTAGAAGTAGATCCTAGTTGTATGAATTGAACTGTCTCCTTTGTCTCCTCTTCCTAGTATCCAGCAGTGCTCTGGATTATCTATGGTGTTATTGGAGAATAAAAGCAAAAGACTGATAACAAGACTGATGTATATGAACAGAAATGTAGTTGTCAGGAATTTAGACTTCAAAGACAAGCTGGCCTGCATTGTGATTCTGGCTCAGAAATATTCCATGTGGGAAACATGGAGCACGTGATTAAATAAGTGTCTTTAACTTTACTCAGCTATGACCAGTTTGAAATAATGCTTGCTTAGTAGAATCATGAGATAAGAATCACAGTTGCTCAATATGTGAAACATTTTATCAGTATTGTATAACAAACATTAGGGTTTTTGATGACTTTAAAATGTGTAACCTGGCCCACTGCAGTGGAGGAGACTTGAATTTTGGCTCTGGTTCAAAGTTTGTAGTTACCCCATCATATCAGGACTGATTAAAGATGACATAGACTACTCACTTCATCATTCCCTGACAAGAAGAGTCTTCTTACTCTAAAGCTATTCTGTATTAGTGCTGAAGTTGTCTTTTAGCAGCCTTTTCTCTCATGACACGAGGAAACCAATGGATTGGTGCTATGTCACAGAGATCAGTCTTACAGACCAGGGCATTCCAGTGGCCAGGGTTCAGGTAGTTATGGTTGGGTGCTTTCCAGGGGCTGCTAACGTGAGAGAATTCTGGAGTGGAACATCTAGAGGGCTGGAGTGTAAGTCTCTATTTCCTTGGCTTCACGAGCAATTTTACAAGTAAACCGTCTGCACTTCAACTTACTTACAAAATGAATTTGTTTGTGGTGAAAATCATGCATTGGAAAATATGTGCCAATTCAACAGTGTTTACATGTATAATCTGGTGACATTGCTTACGTTTATCATGTTTTGCAGTCATTGCAAAATGAGAATTGTAACCTCTTCTCACTGAGCAAACACAAGGGCATGGTGTTCCTGTTTCTGCAGAGATTGTGCTCTTTGTCATCTTATCATGTTAGACTGTGTTTGTGGACCTGTCACATTGTTAACTCCTAGAGCTCAACAAAATATGACCAGCTCAGTGCTTTCAGTTGCCAGTTTGTTTATACTGGCCCCTGGTCCTACTGTGCTTCTGAGGAGCAAAAGTAAAATTGCCATTCTGCAGTGTTTACCAGTTACTATACCTCATCCTGTCTTCACCTTATGCTTTATATTTTGTTGAGTGTTCTGGTAGATCTAATGGAAGGAGGTGTAATTGTTCACAAGGAAATGAAGGTCTGCATGAGAGCATTTCTCTAATTTCTGTTTTCTAAGCGTTCTAGACCATAAAGACAGAGAAGAATATGAGTGCAGTTGGTCAGAGTCAAACTATAGAAAGATTATTTCAGTGTGTTGGAAGACTGTGAGACAGGATGCAATCAGTGAGGAAGTGAATGTAGTTAGTGAAGGTATGAGGCTAATGGCTACACTCTATAACTTGGTAGAGCACAAAACCTTATGTCAAATCCCTAAGAATTCTCAGTTCCCCAAGACTGTCAGCCTCACTCTTCATTCTTAAACACATTGGAGTACATAGTATCTTGCTGATCCAGAATGTATGGGATATTTTAGGACTCAGTGGTCGCTGAGGATGTGGCTGTGGTCTTTAGCAAGGAGGAGTGGGCTTTGCTGAATCTTACTCAGCGGAAACTCTACAGAGAAGTGATGATAGAAACCTTCAGAAACCTGGTGTCAGTAGGTAAGAATGGCATCCTATTCTTTTTTTTTTAATTCCTTTAGTGAACAAAATATTTTACTCATTGACTTTACTCCCATATTTGTACTGAGAAATAGGAATAAATCATCAAACCAGGCATGGTCCTTTGGTGTATTGAGCTCATATATCCTGGCTTGTCCACAAACACAAAGCTCTATATATTACACTTAGCTTTCATTTCTCTTGTGATTAAAAGACCTGTGGCTTTTTAAGTGTTGTAAATGTAAGCATTGGCTTTAGGAGTCACTTTAGGACACTGAGAGTATTATATTTTGCTACCTTGTAGACAATATTACTGTGTTGATTACAAGTGTCCTATGATTATCTAGCTGAAAATAAAGTCACACCTGTCCATTTTCAGAGATCCTGAAGAGCAAAGTATTGGCTTAGTGTCAAGGATATACTCATTGCAGTTCACTGTCCTCCCTCATGATGTGCATTTCTCCATGAGCACCATGTCAGCTATACACATTTATTTTCCCAGAGACACAACTTCACAGATACCTGAGCTTCCTTTTCTAAATTTAGCAATCTTCTCACACCTGCGGTCATGGAGATGGTTTGTCTCTGTTAATGTTATGTGTATTGTGTCTGATATTTTTCTATTTAGCTCTCCTAGTTACACCCATTTATGTCACCATCACTCAGGGCTCATGGAAATATTTCCTACTAAATTGCTTTTTAACCATTGCTGAAGTGCTAAAGCAGCAAAATGTGCCTAAGTCTTTCTTTATTAACAGTGATCTTTTTTCCCCTGATAATTCCTTTCCTTTTTGTTTCATATTGTGAACTTCAACTTGAATTATTGGGTCAGTCTCTCAAAACCTTAAGGATGGAGATAAGTTATGCAGCAAACATATAATGGTGAGATACATGAACAGTAACACCTTGTTCTCCATGTTAGGAGAACTCTCTGAATTGTATGGCAGTAAAGATCATCATAAATTCCCGGAGGGATGTTTGAGGTGAGTGTCATTCAAACAAGAAAAAACAGTGCTTCAGGAGAAAATCCTAAGGTGTCATGACATTAGAATATATGTTAATGTGTTTATATATACCAAGGCTTCACACTCGTTCATAACAGTTCAGTAATTACAAACATAAAGGACACCGTAAACATTGCATAGACAGAAGATCTGTTGCTCGTTGGATTTTGACACAAACAGGAAACAGTGGTCCTCCGCATAAAGATGGCCCACTCCACTGTTTCGAGTGTCTGACGCTCTTCACAGTCCTGCCAGTAATCTAATATTCCCGTAACAGGTTCCTGAAACTTTTAGAATCAATGCAGGAGATAGGATTATTGACAGGAATGTGAGGAGCAACATGCATTGAAAGCTGTGCAATTGGCTGCCATCTTTGAGCAGGGCCCTGCTATTAGTTTTCAACACGGGTCAGAATCCAATGGGCAACAGATATGTAATGCCAACGCTGCCCTCAGTTATGTTCGTAATTGTCGATCCATTATGGACCATTTCGAATCCCTGATATGTGCCTATACGTATAATAGGTATATGTGTGTATAAATTCTTATTCATATATATAAACCTAGCTGTAAACTTATGTGTTCAGAGACTTTTTGAAATACAACTTTTTATAAATGTGCGTCAGACATTGAAACGTATTTCACTTAGACACAATGATCAGAAAGCCTCATATTTTAGAAAAACAATGACAGTTATGGTAGTATTTCTGCGGGATGATTTAACCTATGAATTACAAGAACAGTCAGCAAAAACTATGCGTCTTCACTGTGTTTGGTAGTGGTGAAGAGGAAAGAATTTATTTCCAGCAACATGTTGCCTATTTTTAACAGAAGTCATACAGTTGAAAACCTCTTTGAAGATAATGAAGGCAATCAGTGTGGGAAAACCTTCAGCCGGATTCCAAATCTGACTGTGGTAAAAAGAAATCCTACAGAAGTGAATCCTTTTGGATGTTCTGTGTGTGAAAAAGCCTTCATGGATCCTTCATCACATAACCATCGTACCAGATGTCACACTGGATGCAATACCTGTCAGTTTATTGCATGTGGAGAAACCTGCAGTTGTAACACTCCTATGAGAACTCTTAATGGAAAGAAATCCCATAAATGTGAGGTATGTGGGAAAGGGAAAGACTTCATTTGTATCTCAACCCTTAAGAATTCTGTGACAACACTCACTAGTGAGAAACACTATAATTGTAACGAATATGGGAAAGATTTCTGTATTTTCTCATCCTTTTGCACACGTGTGAGCGGTCATAAGGGTGAACGTAAAGAATGTTGTAAAACCTGTAGTCATTCTTTATCCCTTATTTTACATAACAGAGGTAAGCCTTATGAATGTAGGGAATGTGAAAAAACCTTTAGTTGGCCCTCACACCTCACTACACATATGGGAACACACAGTGGAGAGAAACATTACGAATGTAAAGAATGTGGGAAAGCTTTCAGTAGACCCTCAGCCCTCACTGCACATGTAAGCACTCACAGTAGAGAGAAGCCTTATGAATGTAAGGAATGTCGGAAAGCCTTTAGTCAGTCATCAGACCTCACTGAACATGTGCGAACTCATAGTGGAGAGAGGCCTTATGAATGTAAGGAATGTGGGAAAGCCTTTAGTTGGCCCTCATGCCTCACTACACATATGCGCACACACAGTGGAGAGAAGCCTTATGAATGTAAGGAATGTGGGAAAGCCTTCAGTTGGCCATCACGGCTCACTACACATATGCGAACTCACAGTGGAGAGAGGCCTTATGAATGTAAGGAATGTGGGAAAGGCTTTAGTCAGTCGTCACACCTCACTAACCATGTAAGAACTCACAATGGGCACAGGCCTTATGAGTGTAAGGAATGTGGAAAAGCCTTTAGTCAGGCTTCAACTCTCAGTTCTCATATAGCAACTCATAGTAGAAAGAAGCCTTATGAATGTAAGGAATGTGGGAAAGCCTTTAGTGATTCTTCAGCCATGTCTTCACATATGAGAACTCACAGTGGTGTGAGGCCTTATGAATGTAAGGAATGTGGGAAAGCCTTTAGGTATTCTTCTAATTTCACTTCACATATAAGAACTCACAGTGGAGAGAGGCCTTATGAATGCAAACAATGCGGGAAAGTCTTTAGGCAGGCCTCAAACCTCATTACACATAGAAGGATTCACAGTGGAGAGAGGCCTTACGAGTGTAAGGAATGTGGGAAAGCCTTTAATTGTTCCTCGCACCTCACTAATCATATGAGAACTCACAGTGGAGATAAGCCTTATGAATGTACAGAATGTGGGAAAGCCTTTAGTCAGGCCTCATCCCTCACTACACATATTAGAACTCACAATGGAGAGAGGCCTTACAAATGTAAGGAATGTGGGAAATCCTTTAGTCAGGCTTCATCCCTGACTAAACATATAAGAACTCATGCTGGTGTGAGGCCTTACATATGTAAGGAATGTGGGAAAGCCTTTAGGTGTTACTCATACCTCACTTCACATATAAGAATTCACAGTGGACTGAGGCCTTATGAATGTAAGGAATGTGGGAAAGCTTTCAGTTGTTGCTCAGTCTTAACTAATCATATAAGAATTCACAGTGGAGAGAGGCCTTACGAATGTAAGCAATGTGGGAAAGCCTTTAGGCAGGCCTCAGGCCTCATGATACATGGAAGAATTCATAGTGGAGAGAGGCCTTTTCAATGTAAAGAATGTGGGAAAGCCTTTCGTGATTCCTCAACCCTCAGAAGACATACAAAAACTCACATTGGAGGACTTACGAATGTAAGGAACGTGAGAAAGCCATTTGCTCATCACACCTCACTTCACATATAAGATCTCACAGTGGAAAAATTACTGTGTCAAAAGTGGGATGTTTCATCCTTAATACTATAATTTCAAACGGGAAATTTCTGAAAGTCTGTGATTAAAGATAAAAGTTTTATCAGTGACTAATGAAGCACTAATTACTTCAAAGAAGGGGTCATTAGAGCTCCTTTGTGCCTTTGACATAAATAAAAGTTTCATTTTCACTATGGGTTTGTCCTCATCAGTGTTTACTACTTTCTCAGTCCAAGCTAAATTTTACTTTTTGAAAGTCCTTCACTATGATAAATAAGGCTCCAAGGAATAGCCATGAGCAAATGTGGTTTTGTATTTGTTAATGTTTTTATTGATGTTATTTTCCATTCAGTTAAATGCACTCTTGTATTTGGGTTAAGAGGTTTTTTCCTTTGTTTTTTGTATTCATGTTTAATGCGTTTTCTTCCACTCTTTCTATTGTAAAGTTAACTATTTTACCCTTTATAATTAGTAAATTTCTCGTAGGGCCATATTTTGAGACAGTACAAATATTCTGTTTTTCATGGTGCTTTAGCCTACTAATTTATTGTGCACTGATAATTACTACTTATAATTTTATCACTGTGGTGTTTACTGAAGTTACTTTCTCTTCCATTCATTTCTTCTATGTTTATTAATTGGAATTCTGCAAGAAGTAGTTTTCCCTTCTCTCCCTTTTATGCGTTTATGAAATTGTTTATAGCAGTAAAAGCAGTCCTTGAATAATGAACATGTTCCCTTCTGAAGTCTGTCTTTAATTTGAATTTGTATGCAAGTCGGAACACTTACGCAAGATTAACTTCTAATGTCAGATGATCAAGTATTTGTCTCAGTATATAGTATACACTGTACTTTTGTATGCACAGGAAACATTAAAGGATGTAAATACACTAAAATATTTTTAACACAATAATATAGTGATGTTTTGATGCACGACGTACCATAGCACACAAATGTTACTGTGAATCTTTGATGCCCAACTGGATTCCCTCTTGGTGTAGCCTCCATCCCTGACTTGGGTTGGTTATGAGGCTGCCAGCATGGGCAATGTACATGCAAACCCCACCATAGGGTTTGATGGGTGGGGGTGAGAATGACCCTAAATCTGCGCCACTCCAAACGTGACATTATGGTGGGCAACATCATCTGCCGAGCTCCGAGCAGTCAGAGGGACTAGCGAGAATAAAGTACTGCCAGCATGCAGTGGACACTTGAGTTCCTGTCAGAGCAGGTGTTAATTTTTAACAAGAGTTTTCGGGGGTTGTTTCGTAACTATTTGTTTTACATAAGATGGAGGATCATAACACATGGGCTCAAGTGTATCAGGTAACCCATATTACCTGTTTTTTTCTTGCTCAAATTGTCCCAGATTTGGTTATTAGGAACTTTCTTACTTAGGTTCCTGTATTTATTTACCATGCTTCCATTATAATTTAAAATTTGTTTCCTGCCAGTGTTCAAGGCTCATCTAATCCTTTTCCTGCCTAAGCCCTGGAATGAGGCTTTTCTCCAAGAAACCCTGGTTCCTTTTATTAGAGAATGATATTTAGAAACAAAGATCTGGGCATTAGGTATGCTTATTGCTACTGGGCTCTCAAAGTGGAAGGAGCTAGGAAATATATATGTGTGTGTATATATTTACAAAGACACATATTTATACTTATTTCTATAAGTATCTGTGTATGTTTTGAAAACCACAAGATCATACCCTTATCTCTGATTCCAGTCCAATACTGCAGGATTCATTTTAGCCTTTTCCCTTACTTTATACATGACTCCTTTAGTAGTAGTACTGCTGGCTCCCGTTTTCCACAATGCATTAATTGCTGAATCTGAGAATATACATATTTCAGGAGAGATGGTAAAGAAGAACCAGCTTCTGAAGTCATGAATCAGTCAAATATGTAGGAGATGGGCAGACAACAGTAGTGAAAATGAAGAGAAGCTGGTATAGTCAAAAGGCTGTAAAAAGACCGAGGAATTTTACACGAGGTACAGGAAGGTCAGCCCCCAAATGGTACTAGGGATTGAGAGCAGTTCTGATCTTACTCCTGGAATCAGAGGTACAAAGGATGTGAGATAAAATTCAAAGTGTTGAATAGATTTTTAAAAGTCCAGAAACGACCAGGAGAAAGACTTGCACACAAAATAAATTGTCCACCAAAAAGAGAACTGGGAATTACTAGAAGAAGGGTTTGCCTACTTCGACCTAGCTGTTTCCCTTACCAAGATTTATCACCTTTGGCATACCATTAGTTCAGTATTTTCCAACTTCTGTAGCTCTGCTTTATTTGGCCCTGATTTGCACCTATTTTTAAAGCTCGTGATATCTATCCTCCGCTGTGTATACGGTGATATTAAATGCATCTACACTGCGTAATTTTTTTATACATTTCAGTACAGGACTTCTGACTGGTCTTTTCAAATCTACGATGTCATTCATTATTGTTTCCAATTTCTGCTTTTTATTCTCATGACCGTAGAAAGCATTGATGTTTTATATTCGTGTGTGTCTGTTGTCTTGTTCCGTGTGCCTGAGATAATTCTGTGATACACATTATATTCATTATGTTTTCTTTTTTAAAAAGTTTTTAACATGTACTAAACATAATAATCATATTCATTGTCAAGGATCATCAACTCTCAACAGGTTATGTGTTTTAGTTAAAGACGTTATTAAAAATATAATTTTTCTTCTTCCAAGGGGGTTGTTTGTTTTGCTTTGCCAGGTATCTAAAGTTGCTACCAATCTCAGAGTTTGAGATCCCTCCTTGGATGACTCATAACCAGGCTGCAAATTCCTTGTGTTACATTGATATGCTCACACTCTTTGGAAGCCTGAGCTCCAACTTCTGCCCCTTCATCTGAACGTTGCTTACGTATGTTTGTACCTGAATCAGCCTCCTGTTGTTAATGCTCATCTGAAATACTTGACTCTTCTCTAATTCCACTTTCTTCTTAATTGTGTCCAGCGATTGCTGAATATTTTATTTCTTTAATACATTTAGGATGATGTATCTTATTTCATCCAACTTTTTAGGTGCCCAGTGGAACACTAGGTCAAAACTACTTAAAGAGGAAGTCTCATTTGCCCTTTGAACATTTACTAAAATATAGCATATGTATCTATAGTTATATCATTATTGCTCTCTCTACAGATAGATGTATGTTGTTGTGTGCCTTCTTATTGATTCCAACCCATAGTGGCCCTATAGGACAGAGTAGAACTGCCCCATAGGAAGTATACAATGCTGTAACATTTACAGAAGCAAGATTGCCACAGTTTTCTCCCAAGGAGCAGCTTGTAGGTTTGAAATGCAGACCTTTGCTTAGCAGCAGATTTCTTTACCACTTGGCTACCAGGGCTCCTTAAAATAGATAAGTATACATATATGTTTATATCTGTATCTACATATATAAACTCATAAGAAGTAAAGAAATCTATCAAACTTTATATAATTGAGGAGAGAAACATTTCAGAGGGAAGAGTCAAAACTGAAGGAAATGAAATCTCATCTTTAAAACAGTGCTTTATCTTTTTAAAACATTGATGGCACTTTATTTCTAAGATTTACCTGGAGATTAACTCAAGGAAAAGTAGATAAGACTCGATAAAAAATAAAGGGGATATCCAATAAAAATCTATGGCAGTGTCACTGTGTCTCTTGGGGTGAACCCCTGAGCATTTCATTTTACTTGGATGCACAATCAGTGCCCATGGAAACAGCAAAGAAATCAAATGACATTACATTGCTCAGGTCTGCAGCAGAAGACCTCTTTAAAGTGTTAAAAAACAAAGATGTCACTTTGAGGACTAAGATGTGAATGACTCAAGCCATACATTTTCATTTGCCTTGCGTGCAAACCTGGACAATGATAAAGGAAGACCGAAGAACAATGCATTTGAATTGTGGTGTTGATGAAGAATATTGAATATACCATAGTCTGCCAGAACAAAGGTCTGTCTTGGAAGAAGTACAGCCAAAGTGTTCCTTGGAAGCGAAGATGTTGAGATTTGTCTCACATACTTTGCACAAGTTATCAGGAGAGCAGACCCTGGAGAAGGACTTCATGCTTGGGAAAGTAGAGGGTGAAAGAGAGGAAGACCCTCAAGAAGATGGTTTCACACACTGGCTACAATAATGGTCTCTAACATAGCAATAATTGTGAGGATGGTGCTGGACTTGGCAGTGTTTCATTCTGTTGTACATGGGGTCATTATGACCCAACAATAACATTAATTTCTGGTGCTCTTCTGCCACTGTCCACATCTGCACTATCACACCTACCCTGTGTGCCTCCCCAGGGATACACTCCCATCCTTCCTGCCCTCTGCCCATGAGGTCCCCAAGGCTGCTGTGCACTTGACTCTGGCTGTATTTCTCTGGGATTCCTGAGACTCAAATCTGTGCTGTGCCTCTGCACTCTACTCTCTCAGGTCTGCCTAGTCCCAGTAAACGTTTTTCCCAGCTTGTCACTCCCTCTAGACCTGTCTTAATCTGAGTCCTCTGTTTTGCTCCCATCCTGGGCTTTTTGGTAATTATGAATAAAGTTGGGGCTGCTTGTGGTCATCTCAAAATAGCGAGTAGGTTGTGGAAGGTACATGAATCCCAAACTGCCTGCAGTCCCCGCTTCAAATCTTTCCCAATTTGCTACTCAGCCTGGTTTTCCAAACCTTCAGTTGATTTCCAGAATTCCAAGATCTCTGGTTTCACAGGTTTTTACTAGTTTTCTTTGTCATTGTTGTGGGGGATCCTGAGGTTGCTAATATCTGTGCTGCCATTTTGTCCCTCCTGACTTGTATGAACATGCAGATGGATTGGAGGAGAAATCGAAAGGTGAGGGGAAAAAGGCTTTTTTTTTGTTATTGTGCTTTAGATGAAGATTTACAGAACAAATGATTTCTTATTAAGCAGTACACATTGTTTTATGACAAAGATTAAAAACCCCACATGTCAACACTGTCCCTTCTCAACCTTGTGTTTCCTACTACCAGATTTCCTGCCCCTCTTGCCTTCTAGTCCTTCTCGCTGGACTGTTGTGCCCCATTAGTCTCATGTTTCAAGGGGCTGTCTAATCTTTGGCTGAATGGTGAACCTCGAGATTGACTTCATTACTGTGCTAAAAGGCTGTCCAGGGTCCATAGTTGAGGTTTCTTCATAAAAGGCTTATTTTTGACAAGGTGTTTTCATGGTACACATTCCCTCACTTCCAGTCATTTGGTTGTTCTATCTGGGGAAGAATATTCACATACTTAGAACAATTTTTCATCTGTCTACATGGGTAGGGTATTCATTATTTTCTAATAGGAAAATTGACTTTGGAATAAAATCTGTTCCAGGTAGTGACTTAGGATTCAGCAAACATTTTTGGAAAGAGCTAGATAACATTTTAGGCTTTGCAGGTGAGATTATCCCCCTTGCAAAGACTTAACTCTGCCATTGTAGCTCAAAAGCAGCTATAAACAATACGTGGCCATGTTCCAAGAACATGGTATTTACAAAAGCAGATGTTTGACAGATTTTGACTGGGGCTGTGTAGCGTGTTGATCCTTAAATGGAGTAGATTCCAATATAACCAAAAAAACAAATCAAACAATTTCCGTCAAGTCGATTCCTACTTATAGTGACCCTATGAGACAGAGTAGAACTGCCCCGTAGAGTTTCCAAGGACCACCTGGTGGATTCAAACTACCAACCTTTTCGTTAGCAGCCATAGCACTTAACCACTACACCACTGGGGTTTCCCATATTCAGATATAGGGAGCAGCTAAATCATCGAGGACACTGTGAAATTAACAGAAAAAAATCACATACACCTTCCTTTTTGCTAGTGGGACTCAACTAGTAGAATATCCAGAATGATTACGTCCCTCAGGCTCTGTCCCATGTCCCTGGCAAATGCTGATGTATCTGTCAGAATCTCTATCATCCTAAACTTCCCCTATATCAACCTGACCCATTTAAAAAAAGAAAAAGGTGCCTTCCAATCAACTCAGAGTCATGGAAGGGATTGAGTTTCTTCTGTTTATGGTGAAGGAAAATTTGACAACAGATATTGCCGATGGTTGCACAATATGATTAATGTAATTGATGTTACTAAGTTATACATGAGAAAAACGTGAAAGTGACAAATGTTCTGTTATATATTTATTTACTTAAAAACTTAATTTCAGGGTAGGGCAGAGAACTGAATTGTGAATTGTCTTACGTATTCCATGTATTTTTTTTATTCTTACTGTCTTTTATGTTTGGAAAAGGAAATACGTGCACATTATAAAAATATTCAAATACTACAGGGTATACAGTGGAAAGTCTTTCTCACTCTTGACCTCAATCATTCTACCCAGAAGAATCTTTCTCATCATTTTCTTGTGTATTCAGAGATACTGTATGTGTGTACAAACACAAATCACTTTTCCTACACAAATACGAGGTTACCATATCTATTGTTTGTACCTTGCTTTCTTGTTTTTTCACTTAATATGTCTTGGAAAGCATTTCATGCAGCACAAAGGGATTGACATATCTCAAACAGCTAATGGTATATATTGCATTAATGGACTATAATATCCAGTTTTCTAGTGAAGACTATTCCTTTCTTTCATTCCTATAGACATTGTTGCCAGCCACATTCTTGAGCTTCATGCACATGTAGGGTAATACCTGTAGAATACATTCCTAGAAGAGAAACTTTGTTAGGTCAATGGTACATTTTAAAATATACACTTCATATTTTGATAGATGCACCAAATTGCCATCTGTAGGTGTTGTGCCAGTTTAAACTCTACCAGTAATATATAAAAGTGCCTGTTTCCCCATATCATTGCCAACAGTATTAACAAACTGATCTTTGCAAAACTGGAAGGTAAAAAACAGTATTGCATGGAAATTCCACTTTGGAAGACAAACTGGCAGTTTCTTGCAACTCTAAACGTAGGCCTACCATTCTAAACAAGCAATAGCACTCCTAGGTATTTACCCACGTGGGTCAAAAACGTGTGCATATAAAAACCTGCACACAAATGTGTATAGCAGCTTTATTCATAATTACCAAAAATTGGAAGCAACCAAAATGTCACTCAATAGGTCAGTGGGTAAACAGATGGTGAGACATCCATACAATGGTGTATTACTCAGTGACAAAAAGAAGCTATTAACGTAGGAAAAGACATGGAGGAATCTCAGATGCATACTGTTAAGTGAAAGAAGCCAGTCCAGAAAAGCTACATACTGTGTGAACCCAAGCGTATGACATTCTGGAGAAGTATTAACTGTAGAGTCAGTACAAAGATCATTGGTTGCCAGGGGTTCAGGGAGTGGGAGGAGGAATGAATAGGTGGAGCACAGGGAATTTTTAGGCCAGTGTAACTACAGTGTAGGATACATATGTAATGACGGACTCATGACATTACACATTTGTCAAAACCCATAGGACTGTACAATACAAAGAGTGAACCCTGATGTAATTAATGTATATACTTTAGTTAACAATCATGTATCAGTATTGATTTGTCAGTTGTTACAAATATGCCCCACACCACAGGAATGCAAGATGTTAACAATAGGAGAAACACTGGGTGTAGGTGGGGTGCATGGGGACTCCGTACTTTATGCACAATTTTTCAGTAAACACAAACATTTCTAAACATATAGCCGATTTAAAAGCTATCAACAAAAAATATGGCATCCCATTTTCTTTTAAAGCTTTTATAACAAAAGCTGCGTAATCTTTCAAAGTTCCTTATTTTTTCCCGTGAACTAACTAGAGATTTGGTTTTGTTTTTTTACAAATGAACTTCAAAAATATTGTGGTAAAATACATGTAACATAATCTTTGCCATTTTAACCATCTTAAGTGTACAAATGCATTAGTTACATTCAGAATGTTGTGCAACCATCAACCCGTCTAGTGTTTTTTTTGTCCCATCCCACTTGGAGCAAAGGAGACTGAAGAAACCCAGAGACACAAGGAAAATATTAGCCCATAGGACTACATGAATCAGAGGCTCTACCAACCGGAGAGCAGAAGAGCTAGATGGTGCCTAGTACCACCAATGACTGCCCTGACAAGGAACACAACAAAGGGTCCGAGTTAAAGCAGGATAAAAATGTAGAACATAACTCAAATTCATGTTAAAAGACCAGACTTAATGGTATGACAGGGAGTGAAGAAAAGCCCCAAACTATGACCCCCAGACACACTGTTACTCAAGAACTGAAACCGTTCCCAAAGCCCACTCTTCAAAGATTAGACAGGACTATAAAACCAAAAACAATACATGTTGAGAAATGTGCTTCTTAGTTCAATCAGGTATATGAGACCAAATGGGCAGCTCCTGTCCAAAAGCAGGATGAGAAGACAAGAAGGGACAGGAACTGGTCAAAGGGACACAGGGAATCCGAGATGAAAAAGGATAGTGTAGAATTGCATTTTGGGGATTGCAAGTAATGCCGCAAAAGAATATGTGTATAAATTTTTGAATGAGAAATTAAGTTGAGCTGTAAACTTTCACCTAAAGCCCAATAAAAAGAAAAAAAAAATCATCACCTCAAACAGAAACTGTATTCAGTAAGCAATTACTGCCCATTTCCCCTCCTTCCAGCCCCTGGTAACCAATAATAAACTTCATTGTCTCTGCATTTGCCAGTTCTGGACATTTCATATAATTGGAATCGTATGATATTTATCCTTAAATGTCTAGCTTATTTCACTCGTCATAATGTCTTCAAGGTTCATCTATCTCCTAGCATGTACCACAACTTCATTTCTCTTTATGGTTGAATAAATGTTCAATTTCTTCATCTGTGGCATTAGTGGTTGGTGCATAAATTTGAGTAATAGTCTTATTAACTGTTCTTCCTTGTAGGCATATGGAT